AATGACGACCGAGACGGTTTGTCCAGGAATTTTTATATCGCGCTTTTTGGGTTGGTTTCTTTTATTAGCTCGCATTTTGTTGAAATTATGTTTTTCAATATCAGTTAGATTGTGATTAAAGCAGATTTTCGTGTGAATTTTATTTTGTTGAACAAATTTTCCCACATGTTTTTGTTTGAGTCTCATAGTTGCTGATAGTCTGATGGATGGTTGCTGAAGCTCGTGTTTGCTGATTTTTCAACCAAGTTTTTATAACCAACTCGGTTTGCTTATAAAAACTTAGTTACTAATTAAAATGAATGCAAATCACGTCAAGTTGTCATTTATCTTGGAGTTAAAATTAAGTTATACCAGGCATAGTGATTAACTATCCAAGTCCATACATGTTTCTGAGGTCGTATTCATGTAGTTTGGACACTTAGGTACATTGGAAAAAGCCATAATTATTTTAAATTTTCTTTGCTATCTTTGATAAATCTTCAAGATTCTTCAAGATCTTGGCAAGATTTTCAAAATGACTGGACCTGGGTAGAAAATGTTTATAAAATTTTTATGATTTTTACCAAACACTTTACAAGAAAATGTAACTATAGGACAATGAGTTAGGTTCAGCTATACTTGGATAATAGAAAACTTGAAAGCAGAGCCAGAAAACTAGTCAGGGTTTTATAGCTGGTAATAAGATCTGAACTTGCTCTCAACGCATATAATTTGGCAATTTGTTAAAGTGAGTATCCAGAATACTATAGGTCAAACGCATGAATCGAAAGTAAAAGTTTTGATTTTCAGAGCAATGAATTTTTTAAAGATGTTTTTTCAGTTTTTTGGCTCGTTGGATATCGCGCAAAATCACATAGTGTCGTATCACGAGATCAAACCACGATATGAGTTTGAATAATCATTTATCTGTAAGATTTTTAGTACGGATTTATTGCTCTCTGTTTCCTATCTTGATTCAAACATTGTTTTGCTGCCAAATAAAGATAGGGAATTGAAATCTTTTCAATAGTTTTTCTACCCAAAAACAAAAAGCCAATTCAATTAATCATTTCAGTTTTTCGGAAAAAGGCGTGGTTTCAGTGTTTGGATAAAATGCTCTTCAAGTAATTGACATTAGCATATTGTTTTGTCGGATAAAGATAGTAAAGCAGTGATTCAGATAAATTAAGCTAATCGATTAACCTGAATATATCGATAGATCGATCAAAGTAATTGCGTAATCCACAAACAAAAGCCAAGAACGCAAAACTGTTAATGTAAAAAGATGCAAGCAATTTTGGAGTCCGCATTCAAATTGTGGATTCCGCAATTTATTTATTTTTTTGCGGTTTCATCTAACAACAGGTAATTCACGTTCCTAATTTTGAGGCAATTCGTCAACCTGCTAGTTGATTCCTCTTATTTGTTCTTCTTGGTTTTTTAGAAGGCACTATGTTTACCATATGTATCCGGATTTCACCTAAAACTCTCCCTCCTTTCAGAAATCATGACAAACACAGTAAGTTTTGTCCTCGTAGTACTTCAGTTTCGTAGGTACTTTCAATTACTGCTCTGGTAATATAGTATAGTTTCAACCACTTTTCTCAAGAACTTTTTTGAAACTATTTCAAAAAAGTTGAGATTAGTGCTGTTATGTCTCGGACGAAAATCGGACGTAAAAATAAAGCCCCAGTAACTTTAAAAATCAAGAAATTACTTTTGAAGAAGTGAAATCAACTATTTCGCAATTCTTATAAAAAAAATTAGGTTGAAGCGTCAAACAAGCCAAATCTAAAAACATAGAAACTGAATGGAAATTCTTTTTTTGCTATTTAAGTTTGTTATGATGTAAACCCGAGAAAATTTAGCGTATAACAAAAAGTAAATTCTGATAGTAACAATGACTAATTTCTTTGATAACTGCTCATGGTCAATTTTAATCACCTTTTGTCAATTAATTTATCAATAGATGACTAGATTTGATGCGTTTACCGGATACCTGTCACAAATCCATCTTTGTTCACGACAGATAACGTTCAATTTGAACCAATCAAAATTTAGTTCTTTTTGCAGTCTATTTTTCCCAAATATTTTCACGTTTTTTTCCATAGGAAGTACAGGTAGAACAAAACTTTTCCCTGGTTTTCCTCCTGTTATTTTGACTTCGGGTCGGTGTGTGCCAAAGCCAATTTCGACGATTACATTCAGACATAACGTGACTTCATATCGAGCCTGAAGTGAAAAAGAGCAAATCTAGAAAAACAAAGCGTCCTTTCACTGCTAAATTTTGAATATTCAGCAGACCTTAAAAAACTAGAAAACCATTTCCCAGAAAAGACTACAAGTATATCAGAATATTCAAAGCTATGATTAAAATATAAGGAAAAAATTTTATTAACCAACAACTTGCTGGGCACAAAAAGTATTTTTTGCGAAGCGATTGAATTTTTGAAAGAAAATTTTTTTTTTAATTTGTATCAGTGAATAAGTTGCATGGCAAAAAACTAATTTTTTCTGAAAGAATTCAAGCAATGAAAAACAATTTTGACAATTTCAAAGGTTTCATCGGCCAGTAGTTTGCTTGGCAAAAATCTCGTTTTACGGATTCGAGTCAAAGTATGAATGTTTTTTTTTGGAATGATTCAAAGTTTCCTCGGGCGATCACTTGCCTCACGCAAAAATTACTCTTTGCAAAACATTTTTAGCTATCCGCGAGGACTATTTGTGGTAGCTGATTTTGTGTTGAAATCAAAAACCAGAACAAACAAATGAAACACACCCAAAATAATTCTCCCCATTTTTTCAATTGATCGGAACAGTAAAGCAAAACTACTTGACAAACATCAAAAGAAGAAAATCCAACTTAGTCAAACCAGTTAGAGAAAACTCTGAGTTTTTTATCATTGGTTGCCTTTTCCTGAAAAAAAATTGATTTAATTTTTTTTTTTTTTATTCAGACTGAAAAGAAAAATTTTTTCAAAAAAATTGCTGTTGTATTCTCATTTTATCTAAAGAGAACCTTATTGATCTTAGTAAGCTCACAAACGGAATTTTGTTGATTCCAAACAGAGCATGTTTTTCGTTGTTTAGTTTTCAAAGACAAATCTAATGTTGCGAAATTTTTTCAAATTTTTCTGCAGTAATGTTAGCTGCTGTTTTTTGTTTAACGTAGCTTTAAAGGATATCTTTGAAAACAATTTCCATATTGTTAAAATCTATATTTTTAAAAATTTCATTTATTTTTATCAACTCCGGTAAATTAGTAACAGTTTTTGTTTTTACCTCTTATCCGCTCTTTTGAACCGGAGTTAGAACCGTGGTTTGATTTTTTAATTCTTATTTGTTTTTTTTTCGAAAGCTTTCAATCTAAACAAAAACAAGTTAGTGTTCATTCAACCAAAATTTCATATACCCTTGTTTTTAAGCGTTATTACTCAATTTTCAACATTTTCAAACACATTTTCAATACCAGTTTTTCCAAAATTGAGCAAAATCTACTATAACCTCGCTTTTTTAATAAAAACGTTAATGAAATGAGATTCATTTCATTTAATCATATCCGACTTCTCTTCTAAATGTTTCCAGATCCAATTGCAATTGTTTCGTTTTTGATACTTCTTTTTGTTATCATACATATTATTTGAATCAACTATGACGAATTATAATATCTTTTATTTGCTGACTTTGTCAATGAATCAAAATAGCTTGTAGTTAATGAATTGTTTTTCTTTTGTTCTTCTAGGTAACAGTTTTTCACAATGCACATCTTTTTGTTTTGTGGTAGTCTTTTAACTATTTCTGATTTAAAAAAAAACTGGTAATTTAATGCTCAGATTAACCCAAAGGTGACAAAACATCTCAAATTTAGAGATTTTGTAACAGCAAGAACGTAATCAGTTTTAAATTATATTTGGATGTATTTACACCGTGACAAATTAAAGAAAAGACTGATATCCGATTTATTGTAGTTTCTTGTAGTTTCTTGTAACAGCAAGAACATAAACAGTTTTAAATTATATTTGGATGTATTTACACCGTGACAAATTAAAGAAAAGACTGATATCCGATTTATTTGTAGTTTCTTGTTTTGTCGGATAAAGATAGTAAAGCAGTCATTCAGATAAATTGAGCTAATCGATTAACCTGAATATATCGATAGATCGATCAAAGTAATTGCGGAATCCACAAACAAAAGCCAAGAACGCAAAACTGTTAATGTAAAAAGATGCAAGCAATTTTGGAGTCCGCATTCAAATTGTGGATTCCGCAATTTATTTATTTTTTTGCGGTTTCATCTAACAACAGGTAATTCAATTTCCTAATTTTGAGGCAATTCGTCAACCTGCTAGTTGATTCCTCTTATTTGTTCTTCTTGGTTTTTTAGAAGGCACTATGTTTACCATATGTATCCGGATTTCACCTAAAACTCTCCCTCCTTTCAGAAATCATGACAAACACAGTAAGTTTTGTCCTCGTAGTACTTCAGTTTCGTAGGTACTTTCAATTACTGCTCTGGTAATATAGTATCGTTTCAACCACTTTTCTCAAGAATTTTTTTGAAACTATTTCAAAAAAGTTGAGATTAGTGCTGTTATGTCTCGGACGAAAATCGGACGTAAAAATAAAGCCCCAGTAACTTTAAAAATCAAGAAATTACTTTTGAAGAAGTGAAATCAACTAATTCGCAATTCTTATAAAAAAAATTAGGTTGAAGCGTCAAACAAGCCAAATCTAAAAAACATAGAAACTGAATGGAAATTCTTTTTTTGCTATTTAAGTTTGTTATGATGTAAGCCCGAGAAAATTTAGCGTATAACAAAAAGTAAATTCTGATAGTAACAATGACTAATTTCTTTGATAACTGCTCATGGTCAATTTTAATCACCTTTTGTCAATTATTTTATCAATAGATGACTAGATTTGATGCGTTTACCGGATACCTGTCACAAATCCATCTTTGTTCACGACAGATAACGTTCAATTTGAACCAATCAAAATTTAGTTCTTTTTGCAGTCTATTTTTCCCAAATAATTTCACGTTTTTTTCCATAGGAAGTACAGGTAGAACAAAACTTTTCCCTGGTTTTCCTCCTGTTATTTTGACTTCGGGTCGGTGTGTGCCGAAGCCAATTTCGACGATTACATTCAGACATAACGTGACTTCATATCGAGCCTGAAGTGAAAAAGAGCAAATCTAGAAAAACAAAGCGTCCTTTCACTGCTAAATTTTGAATATTCAGCAGACCTTAAAAAACTAGAAAACCATTTCCCAGAAAAGACTACAAGTATATCAGAATATTCAAAGCTATGATTAAAATATAAGGAAAAAATTTTATTAGCCAACAACTTGCTGGGCACAAAAAGTATTTTTTGCGAAGCGATTGAATTTTTGAAAGAAAATTTTTTTTTTAATTTGTATCAGTGAATAAGTTGCATGGCAAAAAACTAATTTTTTTCTGAAAGAATTCAAGCAATGAAAAACAATTTTGACAATTTCAAAGGTTTCATCGGCCAGTAGTTTGCTTGGCAAAAATCTCGTTTTACGGATTCGAGTCAAAGTATGAATGTTTTTTTTTGGAATGATTCAAAGTTTCCTCGGGCGATCACTTGCCTCACGCAAAAATTACTCTTTGCAAAACATTTTTAGCTATCCGCGAGGACTATTTGTGGTAGCTGATTTTGTGTTGAAATCAAAAACCAGAACAAACAAATGAAACACACCCAAAATAATTCTCCCCATTTTTTCAATTGATCGGAACAATAAAGCAAAACTACTTGACAAACATCAAAAGAAGAAAATCCAACTTAGTCAAACCAGTTAGAGAAAACTCTGAGTTTTTTATCATTGGTTGCCTTTTCCTGAAAAAAAATTGATTTAATTTTTTTTTTTTTTCATTCAGACTGAAAAGAAAATTTTTTTCAAAAAAATTGCTGTTGTATTCTCATTTTATCTAGAGAGAACCTTATTGATCTTAGTAAGCTCACAAACGGAATTTTGTTGATTCCAAACAGAGCATGTTTTTCGTTGTTTAGTTTTCAAAGACAAATCTAATGTTGCGAAATTTTTTCAAATTTTTCTGCAGTAATGTTAGCTGCTGTTTTTTGTTTAACGTAGCTTTAAAGGATATCTTTGAAAACAATTTCCATATTGTTAAAATCTATATTTTTAAAAATTTCATTTATTTTTATCAACTCCGGTAAATTAGTAACAGTTTTTGTTTTTACCTCTTATCCGCTCTTTTGAACCGGAGTTAGAACCGTGGTTTGATTTTTTAATTCTTATTTGTTTTTTTTTCGAAAGCTTTCAATCTAAACAAAAACAAGTTAGTATTCATTCACCCAAAATTTCATATACCCTTGTTTTTAAGCGTTATTACTCAATTTTCAACATTTTCAAACACATTTTCAATACCAGTTTTTCCAAAATTGAGCAAAATCTACTATAACCTCGCTTTTTTAATAAAAACGTTAATGAAATGAGATTCATTTCATTTAATCATATCCGACTTCTCTTCTAAATGTTTCCAGATCCAATTGCAATTGTTTCGTTTTTGATACTTCTTTTTGTTATCATACATATTATTTGAATCAACTATGACGAATTATAATATCTTTTATTTGCTGACTTTGTCAATGAATCAAAATAGCTTGTAGTTAATGAATTGTTTTTCTTTTGTTCTTCTAGGTAACAGTTTTTCACAATGCACATCTTTTTGTTTTGTGGTAGTCTTTTAACTATTTCTGATTTAAAAAAAAAACTGGTAATTTAATGCTCAGATTAACCCAAAGGTGACAAAACATCTCAAATTTAGAGATTTTGTAACAGCAAGAAGGTAATCAGTTTTAAATTATATTTGGATGTATTTACACCGTGACAAATTAAAGAAAAGACTGATATCCGATTTATTGTAGTTTCTTGTAAAAACTATTCGTAATTATAATTAATTTTAAGCGGTTATAAGCACAAAAAAGCTTTATTTCAAACTATAATTTACTCTTTGAATACCTACTTTGTGTAGTTATAGTCAACCATAATCGTCTCACGATCTAAATTAATATCCGCCATAATCAGTTTTTTTGCCTAAATTTTCAATACGAGCAGTAGAGAGTGTCGAAAAGTTTTTAGAATACAAGAAAAACCATGGAAAAACAAACTGTATAAAAAATTTAGAAACATTCCAGCATGCTCCAAAATTACCCAGTAAACTGAGACATTTTTTTGTCTCTTTTAATCTAAAACTTTGCATTAGCGAATTCGCGTTCTTAAGGAGCACCAAATTCTTGGAGAAGCAATTTTGTGAGGTGATCTTCCTATCTGCATGTAATAAGCAGAACTGCAAAACATTTTAAGAACAACCCTAATGAAGGCAAGTCAAAGGTGAGTAAATTATAATATAGCAAGCTAAATAATGTCTATTCGTGGAAGCCGTGGAAAAAAAGTAGCGGAAAAAATGCAGAAAATTTTGACGTCATCTAATTTTGAATTGAGGTTTCTCTGATCATTTTGGATTATGAACTCATTCTCAAACGTTTTTTTTTTCAAATAATATAGGAGTCGATGCATTTTTTTTTGTTTTGGTCATTGAAAAAAAAACTTGCCTTGATTACTCTCAGACTTTTTCCTCTGCTTCTGAAGTCTCCAATTTTTCTAATGTAGTTTTTAGGAGACATTCCAAATTTTTGACCAAAGTGTGAATATGTTCTGATTTGGTAGTAGCAGCAACCTAGACCTAAAATTGGAAATCTGTTTACAAATGTCCGCACTCTTTATAGATTTCCAGAAATTTTCTTGATAATTTTAGCACAGCTGAGTTCACACTTTAGGTTTGAATAGATTAAGCAAATCATAGTAGCCAAAGGAAATCAACTGGTGAAACCCACACTTTTTCGCACAGACAGAATTTCCAAAGCATAAAGGCGAATTGGGGAATAAAAGATGGTTGAAAAATTGTTGGGCAGTGCTCTGTAACATAATTGGGTTCGTTAACTGTCCCCTCAATGTTTCTGGTGCTTCATGTTTAAATTCTCGTTATATGAATATTCACCATTAACAATGAGAAATGAATTGTTTCTTTCTTTCTTTCTGGGATTTTCCCGAAATCCAACTCCTTCGTTACTTTTTTGCAATTGGAAATCCGTGATGAGGAAATCGAGACAATGAAAAGATAATCTTAAACCACGTACTTGTAAGGTTAAGAATTACTGATTGGGGATTCTCAGCCATGGTCTGGATTCCCTGTTTGGGTTGCTGTTACATTGGGGATTTTCCTAATTCAGGAAATTTTTAAGGCTTGGTTTTACCTTGAATTGCATCAAAATGTAGTCGGTTTAATCAAAACAATCTTATTTAAAAATTTGAAAAGATATGTCTAATTGTTTTTTTTTTGAAAAATTTGTACTACAGTTTTTGCCATGTTAAGAGTTCTTTTGAACAACATGAAAATGCAATCCAATGAGCTCACCTTCTTCTACGGTTTGTGAATTATTATCTGTATATGATATCAACAAGCTCTTCGAATTTTATTTACTTTCAACTGTGACCCATATTTTTGTTTCAACATTCAGAAGATTATTATTGTATCTTTTTTAAGATCTCGAGGTAGACTTTCAAATTTTGGATATGTTTGAAGAAAAATTAGACAATGGGGATCCCATTTCTACGCCATTTACAATTTTATCTTGGTCAACTTCCTTCAAAATAGTTTCGAAGAAAATCGGAACTTCTTTCCGATGCAAGCAAAAAAGAGAAAATAGTTTTTAGTATCAAAATTAGAATGAGCATTGAAGTGTATTTTGTGACACATTAGTAGCTCCTTGAGATGCTTCTTGACAAGTATTACCCTTGAAGTATTATCAAACTTTGCAAAATTACGATACACTTTTGTCTTTTACCATCTGTTGGATCACAGTTGACGTACGTTCAATTTTATCCACATTGGGCTCAAAAACAAACAGTTTGAAAGAAGAAACGTAAAAACAATGAAACAACTAAAGTCAGCTCTCAAAGTAAATTTTTGTTAACTGTCCTTCCAAACTGAGGCACGCAACTTTTGGGTTCTTAACATTTTTTGACGTTGCAGTGGAGGTCAAATGTCCACCAAGTAAGTGATACGTGCTATGACAACATGAAAGCTATTCTATTTGTTATGTGAAAACAGAGACCTGTCAATTAAGTCTAGAGACACGGTTAATTTAATGGTGCTAAAACCAACACTCTCTCGGCGGCTAGTGAAAAATTTAGTTGAGCATACATATTGAACTGATTCCTTTTTTATATTTCAAGTATTACCCCTTCAATCTAATCTAAAACTTGACCAAAATAATGTTGATTTATAATAGAAAGTAAATAAATTATAAATAAGGGAGTCATTTCAAAACGTATGATCAACTATAACTTTCACTAGCTGCCGAGCGAGTGTTGGTCTTAGCACTATTAAGTTAACCATTTCTCTAGACTTAATTGACAGGTCTCTGTCTTCACATAACAAATAGAATAGCTGTCGTGTTATCATAGCACGTATCATTTACTTGGTGGAAATTTGATCTCCACCGCAGTCCTAAAAAAAGTCATTCAGGGCCGGAAATATTAAAATCAACCTGGAATATCGTAAACGAAGAAAGAATACCAATTAATGCTTCTGTAATTTGACAAAGTAAGCATTTCAATCTGGAAAGTGTCATTCCAATGGTGACTACGAGACTCGTTTTTTACGGACGTCCAGTATCGACTCATACAGAAATAGTCACTGAAACACAAAAAATATTAAAATTGCGTACCGAAGGAACTTTTGAAAACATTTGAAGACATTTTAAAGCATTTTAATTATATACCGGAAAAAGTTTTGAAAACAATTGAAATAAATTTTGAAAGATTTAAACTATTTACGGGAACAACAACTGAAAGAAATTGAAGAGCACCTGTAAAGAGTTAAACCATATTTTCTGGGTCTTAATTAGCTGCTTTGTGTAAAAAATTTAATTTGGGAGATTTTATAGAATGATTGCAAAAACTATGAACAGAAGATGAACTATGAACCTCGCTCGCTAAAAGATTGAAGAAAAAAGAAAAAACCGAAAAGTAAGCAAATTGAAACTTATTCAATTGCCGTAATGATTAAGGTCAACAAAATGAGAAAAAAATGAGCTAAAATTTATTGAGAGAAGACTAAACTAATAATGAAAATGTAATGCATATCAATTTGAGTGCCATTTTGAATCGACTAAAGTTCAAAAAAAAACATTGGGCTCCAGCATAAAAAAGAGTTACAGACTCTAGTTTTTTTAAGTTAGTAAGAATTTTGACATATGGATCGTTGTAAAGAGGAAAATGACCTGAAATTATTGTTTTGCTAAAGAAGACTCAATAAAAATTGCTCTTGGCTAAAAGCAAGTCAAAACCAACCCGATCAAATACAATTTCAATGCGACCTGACCGAGGTGAGGTGGCTTTACCATGATTTCAAAGTTGGCCCTTAGATACATCTAGGTATTCAAAATCAAGCCAAAAGTAGCCACTTCATGCAAAATTTTGTTGCGATCTTTTTGCAATGTCATCGGAACAAAAACAGTTTACAATCTGAAATTGGTCTCACAGTCTGCTGTCTTTATCATCTAAAACGTCCTATTTCAAATTGGAATTTTTTTAGCCATGTTTAATGATTTGAAGATTCGAACTGCATAAAAAAACTGCAACACATAGTTCTTATTAGTTTCATATTTATCTACATCCTACTTTATATATTTCCTTGCAAATTCGCAAAAAATAGTTAATAATCAGAAAATTATAAATGCTAGTCAAAGGTTTGAACAAATTTTTGGCAAATCCAATATTGAATTTTTCAGTTAGGAAACTATTTGACTAATCTGAAATCACTCGAATCGCTTTTTATTTTATTAGTTATCTGACAACTATGGTACTGAGACAAAGTTTTATCGATGTCACATTTTCGTTCTGTAACATAACCCCCAATCTTCTCATGATGGTTTGAATCGTACGTTCAACCAATCTGCAACCGCGATGATCCCCAGATTTTTTCTTCTATGTTGTTTTCTAAACAATATTTCCGCATTGTTTTATCCTTAAACCCAGAAAATTGGTCAGTTCTTATTGATTCGGGTGTTCCGTGGGTGTCGATGTAAAACGAAGATTTTTTTTGACGATTTTCCCCCCGTTGATTTTGTTATCTTAACTGAAGGAAATTTCGAATACCTAACTATTGCTACCAGCAAGTATATATTTTTCCCTTTATGATCTTCCAGAGGGCCTGCATAGTCCAGTTGTACTTCTTGACTTGGCTGCGTTAGCAGCGGAAGAGGTATACTAGCATTTTTTGGTATGATGTACTAAACATTCTTACCGTAGCGAGTGCAATTTCTACATTCTTCTGCCAGATTGACAATATCTTTGTGCATGAGCGGCCACCACAGGTATCTCAAAACATCCAGCATCGCTTCCTGACCTGTGTGACCACGGTGAACTCTAGTCAAAACTGCTTGTCGCAACTGCCCTGGGACCGCCATCCTGTTATCTACTAGTATGCAGTCATCCACCACGGACAGTTGGTGCCAGAGAGGATTTGTATATGACCCCATGAGTTCAAAGCTATGAAGATTGTTTCTTTCTATCACTCGTCGAAGCCTGTCCATCCAGGGATCCTCAGTGATTAACTCCGCTAGGAGACTTCCATCGAATAGCTTTATGAGGTTATCCAGACTTTCTTCCTTGATTAGCTCCGGTTGACGAAATTTGTCCTTCCTAGAGTTGTGATTGGCCCTTTTCTTCCCGATCACACACTAACTTCTGGGCTGTCCGACAGGCTTTCCGCAGTTAAATCCACTTCGACTATCGGCGATTTGTATCCTTTAGAGTTTCTGTCAATTTCTTGGTCGTGTTGCACTCGGCTTTGCATTTCTGTTTGTGCTTCTAGCTCTAGCATACTTCTCGGGTTATCCTTTCTTTCTACCCCCATGAGGTCCCAAATTGAAATTAACTTTGTCATAGCAGCTAGTGGACTGGCAGATAATGTTCCTGACTCTCTATTAGGTTTGATGTACCTATCCACCGCTCGCCACTCGATCTGTGGTATGTCTGGATCCGAACTGTCCGAGTCGTGTCTACTGCACGCTCCTCTCTTTACCATTCTGGTCCTTGAAAATGTTGCTTCTGTCACCTGCTCTGTCAGTTCTTCCCTTTTTTCGTTATGTCTATTTGTGATCTTCACCGTTTTCTTCGATTTTCCTGGCCCCAACTGATTTTTTTCCATCTTCACTGTTTTCTCCGGCTGACTTGTTGAATTATTGCATTTTTTGATATCTGAATTTATCACCGACTGTTTAGTATGAGAAATCTTGTTTAGTGTGTTTTGCTCGTTTTGATCTTTTTGAAGACGTGAGTGTGATGAGTTGTCTTTACAGTGGCTAATATTGTTTCTTATTCCAGAATGTTCTACAATACTTACATTAATCTTCCGATCTGTATCCTTCAACCTACTGTTCAAGCAGTCGAGCGCCTTATGGAAATTCTGAATTGAAGTTACCACAAATCTTTCATCTATTTCAGATTCAGGCCATGGGTCCCCATTTGTCTCTGAGATTGATAAGTTTTGTTCGATCTATGTTCCCCCAACGCGGATGTTAAAGCTTTATGATATGTTGCTATAACAAATTCTTTTCCCAATAGGTAATGTTTAAACCGATCTACCGCCCAAACTACTGCAAGCAGCTCGAGTTCGTTAGCAGAGTAGAGTATTTTTTTTCTTGGGTGTTCAAATAACGCGAAGCAAATGCTATCGGTACCCATTCATTTTGTTCTGAATGCTGTACAAGGGTTTCATCACACTTAACCCGAGTTTCTCTTGAAGGATTATAAATATTAATCATAGCAAATGTTTGCTACCGCTTTTTTAACATCCTCAAATGCTACTGAAAGTTGACTATCCCAATCAAATTTTTTCACTGGCAATCGAATGTTTTTCATCTTCTTTTTTTCGTTTTCATATTTTAACAAGGGTCGAAGTTTATCCATTAAGCTAGCTGCGTTCGGAATAAACTTAGATAGATGATTAATACTGCCCACGAAAGATCTATGTTGCTTGTGTTTTCGTGATTTTGGGTATAATACCCTCTGGCGATAATTTAGGGCCTAAACAATTTACTGATCACAAAAAAAACTCATATATTGATTTTGACCTCTAACGCAAGATTCTCTCCATCCAATTTTTGTAAAACATTCCGAACCAATTTTCCGTGATCCTTTTCTTCACCCCTCGAGCTAATAATGATATCATCTAAGAAGCAAAAGGTGTTTTTAGCATGGTTCAATGTTCTGTCCATCGCCTTTTGGAATTCAGCGGGCATGTCCGCCAACCCGTAAAAGCCTGTAAGAAACCTATAGATTCCTGTTGCCTCGCCCCCAACAATATTAAAACTGCATTGTCTGGCTGTGTCTGCAGTTAGTCTTATTTGACTGTAAGCGTACTTCAGATCCAGCACTGTGAAATACAGTGTACCTGCTGCTTTCGCAGTTATTACTTGGCTAACACCATCTATCAGTTCATCAACGTTTGGCATCTGATGATTGTTTTTGTACAATTGTCTACTGATAGGTTTTGCATCCAAGGCCAATTTAATGGAATCGTCTTTTTTAACCGTGATAACAATTGGAGCAATGAAACAGTCGCTTGTACATTTATCCAATTTTCTGATATGTCCTTCCGATAACAATTTTTCTTGTTCTGTTTGTACTTTAACCTGAATATGTATAGGTATTCGCCTACCTTTTTCTTGTGTCGGGCATAACGGATATTTAAATTTTGTGCTCACAGTATGATTTTTTGACTCCCCTTGGCGATCAAAACGACTTTTGAATTGATCATAAAAATTTGATTTCCAAACTTCTGACTGCTCGCACGGTAGCACGTTGAGCCTGGATCTTCGTGATGGTGCAGATTTCTGAGTAGTATGGATCCACAGTTTTCCCTGACGATCCAGTCCCAGAATAAATCGCGTCGTTCTGTGATTAACAGCGGTGCTCCGTGCACTTCCTATCCGGCTGAACGGAGGTTCGCTTTTAGTGCTCCTAGTATCAGAATTGGACGTTTATTGTAGTCTAAAAACTGTGCAGACAGGTTAAGTTTTTCCGCAGCAATAAATTTTGATTTCGGAGATCCTTCCAAAATTTGTTTTATTGATGTCCAATTCAAAATTGATACTGGACTACCCGTGTCTTTAGTCATATTCACAACATGATTATCACTTTTCACCAAGGCCTTCAATGCTTTTTTATGAGATTGTGGATTTCGGCGTACCTCAATCTTTTCGACTTTCTCTGATTTATCATTTGGGCTTTGTTGACCACCGCTTCCTTCTGCTTGATCTTTCGTTAATACTCGGTTGTTGATGTATTGCTCGATTGCTACAATTGATTTTAAATCATCTTCAACCGACATTATTTCGAACTTGTCATAGGAATCAAAATTTTGTTTTAGGTTACACTCTTCTTCCGAACTAGAATTTTTGTTTACAATCTCGTTTACTTGCTGTGATCTGCACATTTTCGCGAAGTGATTTGGTTTGTTACAATTCTTACACGATTACTCATTGCCGGACAACTGTTCAAGTGTCCTTCTCCAAAAATTCTTCTTCATCTCGAGCATTGTTTCTGATCTCCCTTGGATCTTGTAGTATTTCGATTCTCGTAATTTTTCCTTTTGTTTTGATCTCGACCTTGACGTCTAGAGTTATATCCCTTGTTTCCAATTGCCATGATTGGTTCTTGATTTATTTTAGTTTGCGCGTTTGAGAATAGTCCCTTATTGGTAGTACTTGTTGAGGACCTTTGAAATGCTTGCGTAGTTTGCTTGCTTTGTTCGAGTTTTATTGCTCCCTTTAGTTCTTCTGGTGTGAATGTTTCAAAAATTAGAGTGTCTTGAAGTACAACAATCCGCATCCGGGATATAAATAAATCTTTAACTAGCTCTTCTTCTAGTCCTCCCAGCTCTGCTTTTGCTGCTTGTGCAGTCAATGCCACGTGAAAGGATTCGAGAGTTTCATTCGTCTCATATGATCATATAAACAATTTGTTTCGCTCGTAAGTGATGCATTTCGTCTTTTCGAAGCAGATTTTTGCCAGTGTCACTATATCTCGAAACCCGAGATTAGATATTTCCGAGTGCGGATTCTTTTGTATGAATTTTTTCTTGCCTTCTGAGCCCAAAGCTAGAAATAGTCGGGATGTTAAACGTTTTCCAACTTCGTGGTAGAATACGTTTCGTACCACTTTAGGTTCTCGTAAAACACGTTCTTCATTCTCTAATAGGACTCTATCTCGTGCTATTCTGTTACGAGCTTCTCTCTCTGCTACTACCTGCGCATCCTCGTTGTTTCCTCGCGTTTCTGGATGGGGTAGAGGTTCTTCCAGTACTGCTCATGGTTCGTCTAATAATACTTCTGGATCCACGTTCTTCTTGACCGTAACAGCTAATAGGAATTGATCAAACCAGGTTTCAAAATTTCATGGTGGGCCCGAGTTTGCCGAAACCCAGAATACCGGAATTCCCATGTCTGTCCTATTGTCTTGAGACAAAAATCTTGATCCTGCTGGCTGCGCCATGTGATACCAGATAGAACCTTGTTGGTTTGGATAGTGAAAACGATATTGGTTTCAAAAGAGTTTAATTTAATATCGAAACCATCTTTTTCTATAGCCCGAGTTTTTGTGGCTAACTGTATGCTGCTGCTACAGTAGAGAGAACTGAGTCTTTTTTTATATCGAACAAAGGTCACACATGATTGACCTTGGAATAATTAATAACAATAATTTAGTTATAGATAACAATATGAACATGAGACCAAGGCTATAGTACTGTTACTGCAACTGCAGTTGCAGTTGCTGTACCACATATATATAAAAGTGAAAAGCAACAATTGTGTTCGATTTGCCTTGAAATTCGATGTGTTAAAAATAGGTAATCTAATCCGTTTTTAAGAATTGATTGTACTCTATTGTTTTTTAAATTTACAGACACTGACAATGAAACTGAGATTCAATCGATTTTATCATTGGAACTCCAGCGCTCGAATAAACGGATAAACATTTAATCAAGCATCTCGATTTGTTTCTGCAATTGAGGTGAACAACGTTTAGCATAAAATCTGCGCAAAAAATATAAACTTTCCTTGATTGCGACAACTTGTATTGCCATTGATGATTTGAGTTAAGACCTTTTGGTAAAACTCATAGAGTAATTTCAGATAAGGTATATCGTCTGCTCGTCACGCTATCTTATTTTCGGCCGGATAGATTCGTGCAACTTCTTAGTCTAATGCCACTCTTAATCTTACTCTTATATCTCCTAGTCTCAATAGATCTAGTGTATACTGGTTTATGCGAGTCGGTCTCTCTGGAGAAGGCAACTATATTCTAAGTTTAATTCAAATTGCTCTGGTGCTGAAACTACAAGTAGTTTCAGCACTTACAATCAAGTGGGTTGTTAGTTGATGGAGTATGATTGGTTAGTATTCAATAATTTATAGAGATAAAATATCATAATAATAACCAATAATATAATTCAGTTTAGATCTGGTTCCAGATTAAAGAAATAATGTTTTAACGAGTCATTCTTTGCTTTTATTCACATAGTGTTACTTTTTTTTGCAAAAAAATTCAATCTTTGGGAAATACGTTGTATTTATTTTAGAGCTTAATTTGAGCATTGACGTTATTTTTAACATTTAACATTAAAAAAACTAAAAATTGTTAAAACACTGCTAATAAATTTGCTAGTCAAAATGCATTTACTGGCCTGCCTATACTTTTATTGCTACATAATCTTTCAATTATGGGCATCGGACCAAGTTTTCAGCCAATCAGAAAAAAAATTGAAGTGCAGCGCTAAGAAATTTCAATTTTAGCCCTGCGGCGGAGGATCTTAAATTCGTCTAACTGGGGGGATTAAAATTTGATCCTGGCCGTAAAATAACGGCTACTACATTGAAAAACTTCTTACCTAAAGTTGGAGCATGCTGATCCTAGTCCGGAAATCGGGTCCGGTAGAACAAACTCAATTGCCTCGGCAGTCCAGCCATCAAAAATTAGCAAAGCTGAAAAAATATTTTTTTGAAGCGAATAAACTAAAGAAAGGAATCACGACAAAAAACTCCGTCTCTGCTAGCTGTGCAAATGGCTGATTCAACTATCGGTTGAGCATTTATGATTTTTTTTTTCCAAGTTTGTTGGCATTTTTTGTCGAAAAAATGATCACAACGCATAATTAAAGAAACTTGGAATGAAACACAAAAAATGCCGAAAATCTGTGGCGCATATGAGGAGTTCAAAAGTTCCAATTTTTCTCTGGAGAAAGCCTGCCCCAGCAGAAGCAAACGCCCCTCTGCTCAGGGATTTGATCCCATCACTACGCAAAGGTTCCCTTTTGGTATTATTTTATGCCATCCATTTTCGGCTCATTGACCATAGACAATTTTTGTTTTCAAAAAATGTCCAACCTTTTTCAAAAAATTCTCAAAAACGACATACAGCATTTTTGATTTATGTTTTTAAATGTTTGCCTACTTTTTTTTGAAAAACCACGTCAATTTTTTCTTTTGTCACTATATGGTTTTTCATGGTTTTTTTGGAGAGCTCGCAAAACCAATTTGATCGACCTTAAAAGTTCCATTGCCCCTGCGAGAAGATCCTAGATCCAAAATACGACAAACTAAGACTCACAGAATATTGATAAGCATAACAGTAGTGTTGGTATGTTAAATAGCATTTTAATATGAGGTCTGTCAATAAATTGGTCTGTCAATAAGCCAAGCTAGACCTTCATAAAGTGAAAGGCTGGCTGGTAGAGCTAATTAGAACTGCTAAATTGTAGTTTGTTTGAAACCAATTCAAAACAAACAACCAATTTTCAAAAGTTATTTCTTTAACACAATGCTGATTTAGCGCTTGCTTGAGAATCTAATTTTTTAACCAATAAATAGGGTTTAAATCTCGAAACGAGGTTTAATTGATGCTATGAGAGATTATTTCATCAATAGTCCAGATATTGGGGGGTTTTCCTGTAAAAAATACTTTTCTAAAACAACGGTTTCAATGACGTGAATTATATCGAAGTCCTCTATAAATGCAATTTGACTGGCCTCTTTTGATTTTCTTTCTGAAAAAGTCCGAGAATTTTTTTTCGAATCAATATGAATGGGACTTCTGTAGCTTCTTGTCCATGGATTGAAGTTCTCTTTTCGTATCTTTGATTTTTGTTATTAGGCTCTTTTTACCTATTTTTCCTGTGGTACCTAACTACGACTTGCTAGCCGCATAAAGAACTAAACCAACAGCTATGCTAATTAAACCTTTGCAACCCCTAATGAATCTTCCCTTTTTTTCAAAAGCAGGGGAAACAATTCAAAAGACTGAAAATGATTTGTTTTCCTTGTTAGTATGATTATTACGATTATCAATAAAATATCATGATATTAAAGATAACAAAGTTTTAAGATGAAATGACTCCCAACAAAAAGTTAGGAGCGTATAACCTCTAAAAATTGGCGCAAAATGTGTAAAATTTGATTTTTAAACAAAACTGAGAGGTTTATATATATTTTTAAAATGTTGGGCATCATAGGAAGCTCCTTTTAAAATTGTTTTGTCAACAATAGAACAGATAGTTTTGCGTATTTTTTGTTTGTTTAAAAAACCGAAACCGGTCGGCCCAACATTTGCAATTTAAATTGCATCATAATATTTTTGCTAATTTCTAAGCAAGTTTTATCTTGAACTTTTTTGTGTTAATTGAAACCAATTTGAAAACAGTGCGTTTTATTTTTCAAGTTTTAATCGTTTTGTCCGGATAATTTAAATCAGCAATGTATTTTTGATGAATAACGTAAAAAAATAATAATTCACAACATTAGCAAAAAAGTTTTGCCAATGAGGAAAAATAGCAAACTCAACTTGACGGTACAAGTTTGATAGTTGGGCCCTTGAAAGATTAAGTTTGGATGATGGGTCCCAATTTTCAAAAGCAATTTTGATTTGGGGAACTATCTCATTTTAAGGGACCTAATCTGATCATACTTGTATCAAAATTTCAATTCAACTTTGATACCTCATAAAGGGTAGCGCTGATCATATACTCTTGGGTGATGTCAATTTTTTAATAAGATTTTCTGTGAGTATGGCTGACACTGGTTCATCAAAATTGGCTCTCTGTCTTGGAGGAAAAGTTAACATAATCAAATTAAACAGCAAAAATCTATTGATCTATTGGAATCGTTTGTTTTCTCCCTTCTTTTTAAAAAAAAAAACAATTTTTGAAATTAATTTAAATAAAGTAAAGATTTTCAGGGACTTATTATTCAAATTGATACAAAATAAAAACGGCCGAAACATGCAAAGCTTTGAAATTGTCACTGGGAAATGGGAACAATTTTGCAATTCGAAAAGTTTGGTTAGAACAGAACAAAAATGTTGCTTCTTTTATTTCGATTTTTTGAACGGTTACTCATTCATTTTGATAATTGACTATCGAAAGTTTTTGTTTTCAATCTTTCGCCCAATAGTGTTTCGCCTTTTCGACTTCTGTCCATCGCCCATAAAACGGTCCGCAGGTTAACTGATTGGACTAACGCTCTTAAAAACTATCAAAAGTGGTTTCAAAGATTGACCTGGTTCTCCGAAAACCTATCAGAAGTATTCAAGTTGTCACTATTTTCTATAAAAATCCCTAATGATTCAAATATGAAAATGAGTCGAACTTACAAAATTTTTTCCGTCAAACACTTTAATTTTTGCACTGAATATGTGATACAGTGCTGATTTGATTTAAACTATTAAAATGAAAAAAAAAACACATTTAAACTTAAGTTACGTTTTTTTCAAAATGAGTTGATTTTAGTCGAAAATTAAAAAACTAAACTTGCTTAAATTTCAGCAAAATTTTAAGGCGTAAAAACGACCAATTTTGGGCTTTCTTATTCCACCAAAAAACGCTAAATGCTTGGTTGAATTGCTCGCAAACCTATAACTAAAAGAGCTTCTAGTATAGCCCAACAAAATGGAACGAGGGTCTAATTTTACTAAAAAAAAGTATAAAAACAGTTTTTAAATAAATATTTGGTGCTTCATATAGTAAAAATGACAGATTTGGCTATTAAACAAAAAATTAATTTAATTTTAAAAAACAGACAATTGTACATTTTTAAGTTTTGTTGGGGTTTATCAGAAGCTATATTAAAAGTATTTTTATCAGCGTTTTAACCAGTAGTTTTGGCGTAAATTTTGATTAAATAAAAACAGCTGAAAAAGGTCGGCCCAAAACTCGCATATTAATTTGCACCAGAATATGTTTGCTAAATTTCTAAGCATGTTTTATCTTCACTTTTCCTGTGAAAAAGGAGCCGAATTTGAGAAAAACGCGTTTTAGTTTTGAATAGTTTGATTAAATTTTAATCGTTTTGTCCGGATAATTTGAGTTTTTTGATTAATCAAATTTTTAATTTTAGTGATTTATAACCTTGAATTAGATGATCAAAATTTGAAAGATACTTACCATATCATTATTATTCAAAGGTTTCAATTGCGTTTTTCGCATGGTATAAATGTGTGTATCAATGATAGTTCAAGTTCAAAGTGTGCCATAGCAAACGGGGCTTTGGTTTGCGAATCGGTGTTAAGTAGAGAAAAAATGCAAACTTACTTGATAAAAACCTGAAGATGAAGCTCAGCCAATGATAAAGCTTTATATGATCATATTCTTGTTCTCCTTGTTTTCGTAAGAATGATCTATTCGTGTTCTTAAGTTTTCTTCATAAAAAGAGTAAAAACCTGTTTTCGTTTTCATTTTTTTTCCAATAGCTTTGAAGTCTCGGTCACATTTTTTTGACGTTGTGTTCAGAGCCTTGAAACAAAAATTCCATTATTTTTTAGAAAATCATATTTGATTCTTGTTACAAACATTTTTGTATTCCGGAAGTTTGTATATCATATTAAATTTCTTTCAGTCGTTAATTAGGTGAAATTGTTCGAATTAGGTGACCCATCTCAGATAATTTTTCACTCTCTCAACCAATTTTTGAAACGTTCGACCGTAGAGTTTTTCTTGACCATTTTTTTTAAATACGATGCCCAGTTTTGCTTTTTGTGAATTATAAGCGGATTCCACAACAGGCCAAAATCAGATTTGCCGAACAATCTGCAACATTGATTCTTTTTTTATATTTTTTGCTGTTTTGGATTCCACGGACAAGTAACTAAAACATTGTATGACCAGACACTGCTCCAAAAACAGGCAAATTTGCGAAATCCTTGACAAAATTTGGGAAATCTCCAAAATGTTTTGTGGAATTCGAAACACTTTATGGAGTCCATGAACAAGTAATAGTCAATGTGCTTAGTAAATTTAGGCTGTTGTGGAATTATAAGTAGAGCCCGCAAATTGTAAGCGAAATCCGCAAATTGTAAGCAGAATTTGTAAAAATTTGGGCAACCCTTATACGTTTGCGGAAACCGCTTACATTTGCGGAATCCGGAACGACTACTTATATTCGCTCGTTGCTGAATCCGCAACAAAACTAATAAGACGATTAAATTCACATTACAGGTATTTGTACGCGGAATCCACAGAAATTTTGTGAGTGGAATAAATTTACAACAAGCAACATGTTTGAAGACTTGCTTCTGGAATCCAGGAGCATTAAAAAAACTTGAGCGCCTATCCAGTGCACATCTTCGTAATGTTTATTAAACAAAAAAAATTCTATATCTGTATATTTAGTTACCAATTTGAATTTATTTTAATTTACATGAAAAGTTGTTGTCACAAAAAAGCACAATATATTCTACATTTTCCGTAAGCATGGAAATTGATGAATGAGAGTCTGGTTAGAAGAAAAGATTGATTGGATTTCCCCGCTTCTCGTTGATCCCTGACCGACCAAGGGGTTCGATTCCTTTTGGGCCCTATGGTACTAATTAACATTTCCAACGATTTTAGTCCAGAGGCGAGTTTTATCAATATTTCTCACATTGCATTCCTAAATTTTTTATCGCTTTTTTGTACCCGCATGATTAAACAGTCCGCCCTTTCCCTTTCTCCAGAAAAAAACTAGTTTCATTTCTCCATATATGTTTATCATTTCTTCGTCAAACCGGGTAAGTGGCAGGTTGTACCGACATCTGTACCTGATAAAATCCGTCAAGTCTGTTATTTCAATTTTTTTCATCGGCATTCTTTGTTGCTTTAAAAACAGACTGCACCACAAAAACAACGCACTGCCCTAAGATTGTATTGTTGATACGACCAGACCTACTTAGTCAAAATGCAACACAAATGACCATGAAATCAATGGAATCCACCTAAACACACAGTCATTGTTCATTTCTTTATTTTACCGCACAGCAAGAAAAAACATTTTAAATCTCAACGACAGTCCATCAAAAGCTATTAAATTATGCTGAGCAATGTGAAAAATTGTGAATACCATTGAAAGTTATTTTCATTAAAAAAAAATTATTTTTTTTATCATCAAAACCAGTCAATTCAATGGTGCAGTTGTATTTTATATGAATGCATCAAACCAACTTTTTAAATGCTCTTTTCAAATTTTATCGACTTTAGTTTGCTCCACCAGAATCAAAACAACCATCACTGAGTTTCAGTATTGAGCTTGTTTTTTTTTACTTTACTTTTTTCGCACATGCGGTTTTTAATGAAGAGACGGTTATTGTTAAATTGATATAATACCTGAAAAACAGCACTTTTAAAAGGTATGGCTACAACTTCGATGATAGAGCGCAAGGCCACTCTTAGACCGCCCGTCTACAACAGGTTTGAAATTTTGATGGATCTCTTAAACTATCTCCCCTTTTTGGTACCCATTAACGAATGCCACCCCTATTAAAACTAATTCAGCTGTTCAGAATTTGTGAAGTTTGTACCTAGTACCAAATCACCCTCTTGCAAAAGTAAAAGAGTATAAGATTTCCATATTGTTTGATAATTATTTCTATAAATTTTATCTCCCAGCAAAACTTAGGATGGTTGGCAGAGGAGGGGTTGATTTTCGAACTCTGTAGATATTATTTTCAATGCAGCTTCAAGTACTTCTAGAGCTAATTTTTTTTCTTACTCGCCAGACTTTTTAAACCATCATAAAAGAAATCTTGTTGGTAACAAGGCTAGAAGTAGCTGAGGAATCTTAAAATATCTCCGGGGGTTCGTTAGGCAGCGGGGTCTTTGTTGAGTGGATTAATTTGATTGAATTTCCCATCAATCAGAATGCAGCAACATTAGAAACCTCAATCAAAAACCCTAGTGCTAATTGACTGTTTTTAAGGGGATTGACTCTTTTTGGTAGATACCATAGGGGAAGGGGCTGGTTAGGTACCCGGGTTGACCAAAACTTCTTATCATACAATTTTCTTAAAATTGTATGAAATCTGTATGATAAACATTTTCCATAAAAGAAAGTTGTATGATAAGTATTTTTCCGTAAACCAAAAACAATTTTTTTTCTATATTCGTTTTCTGAACGTTTTTGGGTTGTCTTCGTAACCGAGCGCAAGTAACAAAAAGTTAGGATCTTTCAAAGCTGAAGTCACAAAAATCTGGAAAAAATGCATAGAAACCGACGTGAATGATCCTAGAACTGTCCTACACAAATTATATAAGAGAAGTTACAAACTTTTAAATTATGGCAAAAATTACAAAGATGATTTTTTCGAAATTTGAATTTTTAATTTATCAGACATTGATCAAGGCATATATAAACAAGCCATACAGAAGAAATTGGAGTTTTTAGCGTTTTTGAAAAAATTTAATAAGTGAAAAGGAGATAAATCCAATATTAGAGTATCTAGGACTACGTTATGCGCACAAAAAAATTTAAGTTTTGCATGCAAAAACTTTTTTTGAAAAATGTTTGTTTGGGATCAAAATTCAATTTGCGGTTGAAAAAAAACAATTGCTAGGAAAAATTTTCGTTGTCGCCATCAAAACTGCTAGTCATACAATTTCCATATATTGAAATTGTATGATTAGCATCGTTCTTACAAAAATTTTCTTCTTTATTTTGTGCGAGACACCGAATTTTATGCCTTAACAAGGAAAAAAAGTTCTTCGAAATTTCGGTGACTCTACTTTAGCAAAATGTATGAAAATTGTATGATTAATAGTTTTCATAGACTTTGTTTTTGAGTTGTATGATTGGCTTTTTCGGTCTATGGAGATCAACCCGGGTAGATCTGAACTAAAGAATTAAAAGAGTGACTAAAATTTCTTTTCCAGGCCCCGCAGACGCCGTGCAGACCAAATACCCCTGCGATGGGTCGCATCCGGACTCACATCTGGCAAGCTTCACAAGGACACAGAATACAAAACCAAGTTCCACCAGATGTCTCTGGACAGACTGCCGCCCATTAAGCAGAAGGACGAATTGGCCGGATATAAAAGTCTAGATGCTTTCGAGAAGTTCTCACTGTACAAGTAAGTTATTTAAAAATTGTCATTTTTCATGATATTTTACATTTCCCAATAAAAAGATGGTATTTTTGGGTTCTAAATGGCCTGAAAAAGGTTTAAAATCTATATAAATTTTTGCTTAATGCAACTAATTGTGCCTATTTTTAGGTCAACTTACCCGCCCATAGCATCAAATAGGCCCAATTTTCCCCGGCCTCCGAACCAGTTCGAGCCCCCCGGCAAAGACAACAGTCGCAAACAGGTTAGCTTGGACAAATGCGTTCAAATAGTCTTAAAAGTCTGTACCAATAACTCTTAGTGTTTTTACTAATCAAACAATTATTTTAAACGAAATGTTTAACAAACGGCTTGTCCTAATTTTTTAATATTTCTTATTTTCACCGATTTTTCGTTAATACTAGAACACCATGATGAAAAGTACAAAGCTTAAAAGTCATAAGAATCGTTTCAAAAGTGCACATTTTGGAGGCCATAAAATATTAAAATAATTAAAGTGGCAACTTTTGTTATTGAGGAAAGTTTTTTAAAAAATTAGGACATTTGAGACAGGTTGATTCTCAATTTGTTTTTAGATATTAAGATGGTTTCAAATCCAAAACCTACTCGAATCAAGTAGTAGACATTTTCAAATTAATCTCTCTGATTAGACTCCGATGGCGTCAATGTACAAGAAAGAGTTCGCACCCTTCCCCTCGTCTCTTCAGAGATCCCAGCCTACTCCAAATAAAACCACTTGGGAGCCAGAACCAGATCCAGTGAGCCAGACTTACCCGATGGTGTCTCTATTCCACAGTGAGTATAAAATAAAAATAAATTTCTCATTTTTCCTTTGATAAGGATTAAACTTAGATTTAATAGAAAAGGAAAGCGCGTGCCGCCCTTGGAGTTTTCAAACCCATCTTTTTACTTCTTTGAGGACTTCATTGGTTACAACAAAGATAAATTATGAGCAGGCGAGGGGAGGGTTCTCATGCTTGAAGGATCGAATGCTTGAAAAAATTCAACCAATCAAAATCGCTAAGCGTTTCTATTGGCTAAAAGCCTTTCTCACAAAACTGAAGTCAATATTAACAGAAAATTTATTAGATCAGTGGAAAATAATCAAAATATTACAAATTGCGGTTACAACCGCAATACTATTCAGATAATCATCAAGATCAATGAGGTCAGAATAATAAGAAATTTTAAGTCTTGAAAACTCATCTGCTTATTATCTAATCGGTCAATATTAACACTAATGGCCTGAATTTATTTTCTTACTTTTACTTCGAGATTTTGAATACCCAATTCTGATTGGCTGAAAATAAGCTAAAGTTAATTCGGTCCTTCACGCATGAGAGATGCCACCAGCAGGCGATACTCTAACTTTGTATTTTAGATTGAACTCCTTTTTTTCGCTTGCATGTTTATTGTTCCGATTTGCGTAACGAAAGTAACAGACTATTTAAGCTCGGGTGGTTTTTTTTCTTCAGACAGTTTTCGACTCTTTAACTGGCCATTTTTGACGGAATTTTTTTATATCGTTCGAATGGTATTGTTGTCTTGAGCTTAAATTTGAATAGATATTTTTCCTGCGATCACTTTTCGTAAAGTTATGGGGGTTAAAGATTGCCATTTTGTTCAACTTGGGACAATGAACGCGCAACTATTTCGCGGTAACAACGAGTTAGCGGAGATTTAATCCGTCTTAGATATCGTTCCAAATTGGTTGAAAGAAGCTTATTTGCCTCAATTGATTTGTTAAAAGGAGCGAAAATATCCTTTTGTACTTAATATGGCGTGTGGGGTGATGATTTTCACAAAAAAAAATGTCTCAAACTTTAGAGAAAAAAAATTTCATTGTATTTTATTACATTAATTTTTTATGTTATTGCTGCTCCATAGACCTTAAAAGGTAAAGTCGGAACATTCAGGGCTTTGCCCTGATACGAGCAGTCTTATTTCAAGTACTATGGCTCAGCTATTGTTAAAGGTCGTTCAAATTCACATTTTAAGAAAAACTCGTCTGATTTGATCCTATCCAGATTGCTAAATTTCAAAGTGCCTCAACGCAAAATGCTGCTTTTTTTGAGTCTGTAAGAAACGATAAATGGATCTGGCGCTCAAATCATTCCACCCTTCAAACTAAGATGAAGCTGAACACAATTACTTCAAAGTTCCAGTTGCACTTACGGCTAAATATTTATAGGACTAAAATAAGGACCAAAAGATCAAGTTTTGTCACTCTCTACTGAGATACGATGTAGAACCCTGGCAAAAACTTAGTGTGAATTTTCTTGGTTAATTTCAGTATTTTTTGAAGTTTAAATTACCAACAGAAGAATTGAATTGAAAAAAAAGAGTACCCTGTATTGACGTGGAAACCACGATAAGGAAAATACTTCGCAGAAATATGTCGATTCACATATTAATTTATTTACACTCGAGTACAGTTTTTTTGATGTTTTCAAAAACGCAATTTCTGACCTTTGGAAGAGGACACAAACTTTTCTGGAAACAGTTCAGAAGCTGATACAAAAACTTTGGACGTTAACTTTCATAGTCGCAGCCTTCTCTGGAGTTTTCGTTTTAACGGGATTCGACCTAATTGAGCTTTTTCGAGCCCTATTTTTGCAGTTTGCAAGCTATTCAAACTCAAAAAATCAAGTTTGAAATTATTCAAAATTGGAGATACATTTGCCGATGATACTGGGTCAGTGAATAACTTAGTCAATGAAAATTAAGTTACGTGATCATAATTCCTTCTGAAGCAGATATTTTGTCAAATTTTCTTCTGACCCAAAAAAATCTTGGACGTAATTATATATTGAGGCGCTATCATCAACGAAGAAACCATTGAAAATCAAAGGATCAAAAAAACTTGATATTAAGTTGCAGAGGTAATTTCGCTGAAAAATGTTTCCCACTACGGTGCATTATGCCTTTGAGCTCTGCTTTTTTTTGAACACTGCATTCGTACGTTCATTAAATTATCTTGTGTAATTAGTTTCGTCTCCAAGATAATTGAAAGAAGTTAGATATCACAAAAGTTCATCAAAAATCGACAATGATTGTTACGGCTACTTTTTCTGAAAGCCAATACTTAACAATTCAAATTTTTATGGAAAATTTGTTGCAACATTTTTGAAAACTTTTCAGATGACTTCAAGGCCTTTTCTGGGACCGACTGTACACGAAGGCCGATCAAAAATGACGACGGTGGATGGCAACTGCCCCACTACCCTTTGGAGGGGAAGAGCACCAGTGCCGACGCGTACAGGTAACTATCCCAGCTTCCCCCCACCCTGCGCGTTTAGACTTTATATTAGAGCAACATTGTTAAGAGTAGTCAAAAAACCCCTATCGAGTTATCTGCCTTTACAACCACCCTCTTCCCCCCGCCCCGCTTTACTGAGACTTTCCTTAAACTTGTTGTCAAAGTATTGTTGTTAAGAGAAGTAGAAAAAAAACAGGTCGCACGACTTGCCCTTTGTTCCTGTTATCCGTACGGATATTATAGAAAACATCCTTTATTAATGATCTAGATTTAGATGCTAGAACTACCAGTTGGTAATGATTACATATTATAAACATAACTGATTAATTAACACATATAGAAGTCTGATGATTAAAATAAGTACCTATTTATACGTAATGACATATGTACTAGTTATTATGAAAAACTGTCTCTCAATTGATTCAAGGTCAGTGTCAGCCAGACTTAAACATTCTTAGATGAAATTAAGTTGTTCTCTTAATCGTTCATTTCTCAGTTAGCGTTCAGCATAGACTCAGACAAACATAGATTATACCTCACTTACCAGATGCGGGTATAACATGGCGCAGCCAGCAATCACAAAGAACCCATTGGGGATCACACCGTTTCGGCAGAAAGCCTCAGCGGACCCACCGATAGAGTGGGATAAATGGAACCAGCAATTATTTCTTGGAGTCATTGCAAAAGACGGTGTAAACTTATCGAAACTATTACAAAACCATCCAGCTATAAGAAAACCTCAAGAACCAGGATATAAACTCCCCATCGAGGGGGAAACCGACAAACAAGTACGAGATCGAAACCTACGCAACCAAGAAAAACGAGTAGCGCGGGAAAATCAGTGTCAACATTTAGACAACCTTGGTCCAACAGTAGACGGAGTGCCGTGGGAAGAAGCGGACATCAAATGCCGGAGCTACATTTTTTTGTGCCTGGGGACTGAAGGTCAAAGAAGACTGTCACAATATTACCCGAATCTCAAAATTCAAGAAATCTCAACAAGAGACTTCTGGGGAAGGTTAAAACGACTCTTTGTGAAGAAACGAAATGTAACATTCGACCGATATGAAGCTTTCACACGCAAACAAGGAAAAACAGAAACCCTGGAAGAATTACACTGTGGACTCACAGAACTCGTGGTCAAAGGCAACTTCAAATGTACCGCATGCAATGATAGTGGACTCGTATCAGAAATAATTCGAGATTTGTTTACGGCAAACATGGCAAACGACGAAGTTCAAAAAGACATCTAGATGAAACGAAAACACCCGACCAAGCGTTGGATTACGCAGTACGAAAAAAGCCTCGAGAATCAAGTCCACATCAGAAAGCAGGGATCGTGTAATAGCCACACCGGATTTGCAAACATAAAATCAGAACCAATAAACTTCGTCCAAAGGAGGGGTGGTTATAAATCACAACCCCGGGGTGGACGCAGTCGTGGAGGAACAACGACGAGAAACAGTTCGAACAGATCGACACAGAATAAAGATTGTTTCAAGTGTGGTAACGCCTTCTCAGCTAACAACCTGGCACAGTGTCCGGCGCGAGATAAAATTTGTAATAAATGTACAAAAAGGGGTCACTTCGCCAAACTATGCAAATCTAGTGGAGTAAACGTTATTCAAGAGTACATTCCTCAGCAACAGGATATTCAGGAAACAGATATGACCACCTATGTCGATTATATCCAAGCTGGTGATATAATCCCGGGATGGGAGTTGGTACATCCAGATGATACATCTACCAACTGGATAAAATTCGAACCACGACGAGCAGAAGTCATAAGAAATAATGATCTACAAGGTCATCTCATTCGGGTCTTTTCGGAGACAAACAATATCGTGTTTATCGCAAACATAGGTTCTCCAACATCTTTCGTGAATGAAAAAACAGCCAACCTTCTAACATCTACTGTCAAATCGGCGGTGAAAACGACATTAGGGGAAGACGACGAGGCCAACAGAATGGTTTGTTATAAAGGCTACAAGATCCCGTCACTTGGCAGGCTGATAGCTCCTATAGAATCTGGAGGATGGACGATCCAAACAGCTTCATTCATAGTGGTGGACGACAGACGAGCGAACATCATGGGACGCAACCTTCTTTCCCAGATTGGAATAAAACTGCACCAGGAAAGAAAACCAGTTGGTAAGTCTAATTTTCACGTCAACAGCATCGACAGTTCAGACACGCAAATAGCGGCGTGGGTTAAAACCACGTACCCTGGTCTCTGTACACGAATAGGGCGCTCCAAGAATCACATGGTTCATACAGATTTCTTAAAAGATTTCAAGGCGTTGCAACAACGTGGGAGACGTATCCCCATCCACATTCAAGAGAAAGTAGAAAATGAAATTCGATCGCTAATTGACCAGGGGCATATAATCCGTCTGGACAAATGCAGCGACCATCAATTCATAAGCCCTATTGTAACAACGGTAAAGAAAGATCAATCAATAAAATTGGCAATGGGTTCAAAACAAATCAACAAATCTATCCATAAAAACAAATATCAAATGCCAAATATCGAGGTTTTGTTAGATAATATAGCACAATCGGCTCAGGAAGAAACAAACAAACCGGGGACCACGTATTTTAAAACACTAGATTTACGTTATGCGTATAGTCAACTGCCACTCGATGAAACAACACGAACGCAGTGTAATTTCAGTATTATTGGGGGCAGGGCTACCGGAACCTACCAGTTCCAAACATGCTTTTACGGACTCACCGATATGCCCGCGGAGTTTCAGAAATCCATTGATCTGACCCTCAATAATGAAAAAGATACGTTTGCATTTTTAGATGATATCCTGATTATTTCTCACGGTACCAAAGAACAACACATAGATAAACTAACGAAAGTTCTTAACAAGTTAGATATCGAAAACATGGCCATCTCCGTTGACAAATGTAAATTTGGGTGCAAAGAAGTAGAATGGTTAGGCTTCGTAATTAATGAATATGGAATAACCCCTATGCAAAAGAAAACCGATGCTATAGTAAACTTACACCACCCAAAAAATTTTAAGCAACTCAAAAGTTTTATGGGATCTGTTCATCATTTGAACAAGTTTATACCTAATCTGGCTCAATTATGTACTCCGCTACGACCCCTACTGTCTGCAACCAACAATTTTAATTTTGTATGGAAAGAGGAACATGAAAAAGCGTTTCGTAATATACAAGTGGTAGTTCAAAATATTACGGAAAATAGACATTTAGTAAGCAACAGAGAAATGCGGATTGTTTGTGACGCCAGCCGCGAGGGACTAGGAGCGGCACTCGAACAAGAAACACCAGATGGATGGGCAACCATTGCGTACGCATCGCGCTTTTTGAATTCGTGTGAACAAAAGTATTCAGTTAATGAGCTCGAGCTCTTAGCCGCAGTATGGGCTATCGAACATTTTAAGTATTACCTCTATGGTAGACGGTTCACGTTAATCACAGATCACCAAGCATTGGTAAGTGCCTTACAGAGTAACCAGTCAGTGTCAGCCAGACTTAAACATTGTTAGATGAATTTAAGTTGTTCTCTTAATCGTTCATTTCTCACTTAGCGTTCAGCATAGACTCAGAAAAATATAGATTATACCTCACTTACCAGATGAGGGTATAACAGTTCCCTCGTGAATACACTGATCTTTAAAAAATCCTTCTTGTTCTAGTTGGAAGTACATGCCAATGGCCCAGTCTTACAAACCAACAACTGTTTACAATCCAGATGATTCAAACAAGTTCTCGGCCATGTCTGAACAGAAGTACGTAAATTACATCACTTTCAAGCTGATATTACATCACTGAACTTTTAATTAGATTCGTTTTTTTTATTAATAGATGGAAACAGCTCAAAATTAAGGATATATTTTGATTAAGCTATTAAAACAGCAAATGCTAAAAAAAATTTTGAGTTTAATTAATAGAGCATACATTTTGAGCATACAATTAATAGTTTTCAAAAAACTAAAACACACTCGAATACAAAGCTCCTCCCCATTTTCAATGGTCAGAACAATAATCAATGATTTTTTGGCTCATCAAAATTAATTTGGTGTATTTAGACAATCATATATCCCATATAGTCAAGAAACATACATCGAATCGCTGACAGAAGGCGACAATATCGACTTCAAAGACGGCAGAACTAGTCGTTTCATCAGGCCCCGCCCACCTCCTGAAGGTCCAAGTGTCGACAATCTCTACGGCAGCGGGCCAATCAGAAAAGGAAACGTCACGTTTGAAGACATTTCAGCTTCTAACCAATCAGATTTGAGAAAAGGACATCAGAACTCGGCGCCATTGCCTCCGATTGCAGCGAGTTCCAAAAGCGAAAAGAAAAATTCTGATGAAAAAATTAGGTCTTCTGGGAATAATGAAGACGGAAATGTGGGAAATACTTCTGTTAAAATTGAAGGCGTATCAAGCGAACAAAATAATCGGGAGGTTCAAAAGGTGATTGACAGTTACAGACAATCACTCTATTCTACTACATACAAAAGTGATTACTAAATTAGGTTGAGCTGTCATTGTCAGAAATTGTTAAAGTTATGGAAAGTTTACCAATTCAGTTTTTTTTGAGGAAAAATTTAGCTATTGAGCCAAGAAAGTTCCAAAAAAGTCTGTCTATGATAATATGGCTAACTACGTAGATAGATCGTACAATAAAAAAAATAGAAGCCATGACTCTTTGTATAAATTCAAATCCGCCGACGGTAAAAGCTCGATAGGAGAATCTACGATAAGTTGGTATTTGATACTTTGAAACTAATCGTATCAGATAAAACATCAGAAAAAGGATAGTTGGTTACTGTGCAATTAGCACAGAATGTTCCGACCACAGTCTTGAAAAAATATAACCAAGTTTTTTCAAACTATTGTCATTTTTTGGCGTGGTGTGATTAAAGGAGCTGAACAAAAAACTGGGGACTAGGTATATTCGTAGGGTGCCGGACATCAAGCCGACGGGATTCAAGCCGAATTGTAAAGTTAGGGACTCCAAGCCGAGTATTTCCTTATAGAGTCGTAAAACATGATAAATTTGAAAACTTTTTGAAGAATATCTGAATTATCTCATCTTTCTTCACTAGTTATTGGCGTTTATATAAAATTTAGGCCTCCAAATGATGTTTCGGAAAGTTGAAAAGTAAAACATGGTAGAAGGAATTTTTCATGTTTATAACTAATGCAATCAAAAAACCGGCTGATGTTATTAACGGATGCCAATCACAAGTAGTGCATTGTCATGAATAACGCTGATTATAATGGTCGGAACAATGGTATAATGTTTACACAGCTCTTTGTTTTGTGTGAAAAGTTTTCTCCTACACAGAACCGAGTTACCAACTCATCTTCTTCCGTAACGCAATCTGGCACCGGTTAGACTTCTACTTTCTCCGTTTTTTGCCTTGAAATTGTAAAATTCGTGGAAAAAAATTTAAAACGTTTGGGTTATTTTAAAAATCCACTTTTGTTAAATATATAATCAAAATGAAGTCATTCTAAAGTTTTAGGCGGTGTTTCAGTTTAAGTTAAAACATTTTGTAAACGAGTTTTTATATGTTTTTGTAAGAAAACAATAAATTAAGAAAACACTAAGACGCTGACATCCTTACTGGAAATAAACATTTGGACTTTGTTTTGCAGTTTCTGATGTATTTTTGATTTTCGATAAAAACGTTTTTTCGAAAGTATCGACAAACTCCACAGCCAATATTGAAAACTACAATAATATATAGTTGGTTTCTACGTACTCCTTACTGGGATGCTTACATTTAGCTTGCTTTGATTCTATTGTTTTGAAATCTTCAAATTTGGAATCCAAATGTTTTCAGTCGTCGGATAAAAGTTCCGCATGCCTAGCAAGCTAGCTGAAAAACTGGGATTATTGCGCGCTATTTGATCCCAAAATAGCCCAATCGACAGTTTTCGGACCCCCTCAACTCGCAACAAACTGTCAAGCGAAAATATTTAGCCATAATTGAGCCAAGGTTGTTGATACTTCCGAATAACAAGAAAAACGGGTCAAAAAATACGGTTTCCGTTTTCTTCATTTGAAATTCGTAGAAGATTGTCGAAATTATCTAAATCAATGCAGAACAATTCATTAACAATTGTCACTTTTAATTGGTTCAATGTTTTCTTATCTTTGGTGAAATGATGATAGCTGAGGGTTCTGTATAGAAACTGAATAAGATCAAAAAACTTGCTGCCAGCACATTTTGTACTTCAACGAAAGCTCTTACTAATTTTGATTTTGTTCGTGAGATGTATCCAAGAAACAATGGAAGAAGAAGTCGGAAAACTATCTTTAGGCAGCGCTCAATCATCGGATTTGATCTGTTTGTGATTCGAATTTTCAAAAAAACTAACCGTCGTATAACGTGAACAAAATCAAAACAATTTATTTGACAGTTTCCACACTGTTCGAGTATGATAAGTTTCTGCATTGTTCGAAAAACTTAGCCGGGGTTATTTGGGTAAAATCCAGGAAGAACTCTAAAAAATACTCCAGGTAACGTAGATGGGAAAAATTACGTAGGAGTAGTCACACTAAATCCAATTCCAAGACATTTCTGGAAAATAGCACACATTAATCCTTTGCACAAAAAGGCTTCTCGTATGAACAGTGAAAATTATAGACCTATTTCAATACTTCCTACCTTCGCCTTAAAATTTGAACAAGTTTTTTATAACAAAATAACAAGGTTCATTCAAAGAAAGTTGTGTTTAAACCAACATGATTTTAGAAAACATCATTCGACTGTGACAAACCTTATATTGTACCGTGATATTGTATACAATAAATTAAAACAAAGAGAATTACCTCTCACACTGTTTTTAGGTATTGCGAAAGCACAACAACATTCTATACAAGCTTGCCAAAATAGGCTTCGACCATGAGTTTCTTCAAATTTTTGCATCCTATCTCAGAAACAGAAAACAAATAATTTTTCTTCGTAATACTTTGTCTCATTCCTGCAATTGAACGAGTGGTGGTCCACAGGGATCAATTTTTGCAGTTTTTGTTTTCTTTATATATAAGCGATTTGCCAGAAATTATTGACAACCCTACCTTTTATATGCTGACAATACAAAAATTATTGGAAAATGGTTTGACCGTTCTACGACTCAAACGGATGTAAACAATGTAATCACCTGGTCAGCAGAAAACAGAATTGACTTGAATTTTGAGAAACTTGGACAAATAAGATTTCGAAAATCAAACAAGCGTTACCCTTTAAGCGATCTTTTATCTACTCTGGAGATTAAATTGTTTTAAAAGACACGGTCAAAGACCTTGGTGTTTGAGGCAATTTCAAAAAGTCTTGGGTATATCACATCACCGATAGGCTCAAAAAAGCAAACATGCAATTTAATTACATCAGAAGACCTTCACTAAACTCACTGAGTAGCTCTGTTCGCTTTTCATTTCTTAAAATTTGCATAGTATCAAAAATTTTTTATGCATCTCCAGTTTGGTTTGCAACTTAAAACCAATGTAGACGAATAGAAAAATTTTAATGACAATGCTTAAAATGGTGTTACAAAAAACATGAAATGAATGATGAAGATTATGTTTTGTACTTGAATATAAGCAAACTGTTGCCAATTTCACTGACGTTATTCAAAAACAATTTATTTTGCTGAATAAGATTTATAATAACGAGTTGGCGATTAATTTTTTTGATTTTTCTCAAAAACGTCTTGTTTTCCGTTCGATTTGACTCAGGCCCTTGTCGAAGGATAGCACGGAGCAAACTTTGTGAAAATTTCTTTTACCGTGTCGCAGAAATGTCAAACTCCCTCGCGAGATCGAACAATTTGCCTGGCTATGATCCTTTTCAAGAACCTGTAATCATTAGAAAGAACTTGAGCCTGTTATTGGTTGACAAACTACAAACATTTAAATACTCGATTTATCCAGATTCATGCTTTTTAAGTTTATTTTATTAACGTTGTTATCAATGACTAAGAGCAACTAATCCCCGTCTTGCGGGTTGAATTCAATCTTATTATGATTATCATTATTATTATATCTTTTCTAAGCTTTTTTTATTAAAATTCGAATTAGTATTATATCTTTTCTAAACATGTCATTAGACAATTTATAGCAATTAAGTAATGTCGATGGGAAAACGCTTAGTCAGTATTGTTGTTGGTCGAGGATCATGAATATGACTAAAAACTCTCCTTTTTTTTCCAACCACGAAGAGTCGACTGAGACTATCCTAAGATATGATTAAAATATTCGATCGGGCCGCCTTGAATAGTTCACCATTCAATCTACTTTTTTTGAAAATTGATCACCGGGAATCTTTGGTTTTGTTGTTTCAAGTTTCTTTTATAGTTAGATGACAATAACTCTAGACGGAAGTGATAGGTTAGATAGACATTTTGTCAAAATTATAAAAAAAAACAGGCCAAAAAAGCGTTTGTTAGCTATTTTTTGGAAATTTTTTAACAAAAAATTGCGTTTTGTGGGAGCTCACCTTTAGAAAAATTTTGGGTTCCGTCAGCCCAAAATGGATATCTCAAAATTGTTCAAAGTGGGGTTCCTTCGGGTTGGCAGGGCGTCGAATTCCAGAGACACTCCTGTTTTATGAAAAATTTAGCCCTGGTTCAGGGTTTAAACCTGGCTATTTTATCCATGATTATTGCTACGAAAAATAGCCAAGAAACAGCCCTGAATCAGGGCTTAAAATTTCATAAAACTCTAGTGCCTCTGAACCAGCGATAGCTATCTATGACAGATCAAACCCGAACTGTAATTGCATTGATCAAAATTACTTTTTTAGGTCAGTTTCTATAAAAATCTAAAATAATTCATTATTATTAATTGACAAGTGTTAAATAACAAAAATCGCAAATGTTCAATGTGTTAACGAATACCTAAAACAAATGTTTTATAACAAGGAAAAAGTGGGCAAGCAAATTCATTATAACCATTCAGAAAACTTATTCCAAACCTCTGATTGAGTTGGAAAAATTGAATGTGAGTCTGTAAAGATTTCCCAGCAGCCCGACAAAACGAGAAAAGCATATTAGACTGCCCATTATGGTTTTGTAACAAGTTTTTTTTCTACCTTAGTGATTGGGCAAAATGCATGTATAGTTGCCATCTACATGTCAATCTGTTCAAAATGTCAGAATGAACCGATCGGCTCTCAAAAAGTTGGCAATTTTTTCACCAATCCATCAAAACTGTGAAGAAAGGGACATACAACGAAGCACGCGCTGTTCCAACTTTAGGTCTGCTAGAAAGTCAAAGACCGATCCGCGCTGGGTGAAGCACTAATGCTCTTACCTCAAACCAAACCGCTAAGACATGAAGGCTTCATACCGGTGCAATTATTCAATGGTTAAAATTCAACTGAAGAAGGCAGACTGTCATGTACTGCTTGCGCAGATAGGTGGTGCAAGTTTCGTTTCGAAAGGTTTTCATTAATTTTTTGATTAAAACAAGTAATTAAAAGAACTGGAAAGAATTGGACCTTACGTTTATCAATTTTCAGGCGAATTTGCGGAACATATTGCCACTTTGGGCTAAGTAAGAGCATTTAAAA